ATAATTATTTTAGCTGAGTTTTTAAATTATTCATATTAAGCATAATGTGTACTTGTTTTACAACTAGAAATTTGGAATAGTGCACATTTACTTATATCAGAAATTCAGTATAAGATATATATATATTTGGTTAGAACAAAATAATTGATATTCTCAAATGATTAGCACATATTTTAAATATTCATAGATCAAATTACAATTAGCATTAGCATTAGAAAATGATATTTCAGATATAGTATTTTAACTCAACAAGAAATATAACAAAAATTGTAGTTAACAAGTGCCAGTTCAAATCTGACAGTTTTCAACTGTAAACATGATTATTATTTTATCAACTCAATAAAAAATACTACAAAAAAAAATAAAAATTCTCAAAATCTAATAAATATATGTAATAATTCACATCAGGCTATTAGTATTTATGTTAAAAAGTCAACAATATATTATAATCTCTAATTTAATAGTATTTCAGGTTTTATTTTCATTTATCTTATATATATATAGTAAACATAATATAAGTTCACAGATGCAATAGTCAAGCAACTGATACAAGGTATGAAATTATATGTAAAAAATAAACAATAATAACAATATATGATAAATAGAGTCATACAAACCAATCAAGTGCTGAAAATCACACATACATATTCATTTGCCTGTAAACTATACACTAAATTGTACATTGTACAAACTCCATTTCTAGTAAAGGCCTTGAATAAGATTTAAAAAATAAAAATACTATAATGTATTAGAATAATGTAATAATATAATATGAATTGTATTTGTAGTTCAGCAAAAATATTTAATTATTAAGCAGTATTTGTAATTAAGTTTTGAAAAACATGTTGAAAGTTGACTTTTTGGTTAGAACAAGTTAAGAAATAAGATATATCTTTAATTAATTAACAGTAAATGCTATTTGGAGTAATATATAAAGGAAGATAATAAACATTAAAGTTTTGCATTATTGGCAAGTTGTTGTTAATAATTATTAGTCAAAATAAATAAATATTTGATTATTATTAAGTGAATTAATAATATTAAGATTAATTAATTATTTAATAAAAAGTGGATTTTTGAAAAGATTTAAGTAAATTCACTGATTTCAAACTCTCTCTGCAGATCTTCATAACCAAAATCAGAACAGAAAGAAAATCATAAAAATCACAAAAACCAGCAAGTAAAAACACAGTTGTCAACTAAGTAAAGTTAAATCTTGTAAGAAATTAAATATATTTTGTTAGAATAGTAGACCAAGTTGATAGCAATATAGTAGGTACTTTTGATATTTAGAAGAAATTTTGCTTTTTTAAAATTTTTGATGAAAAAAGGAAAAACACAAAAACTCTATACTGCAGATCACACACATAATGTGTAAAACAAGTTAGAGTAAACAGTAAATACAACAAAGCAAATAAACAAATATACAATCTTGTAGATAAACAAATAAATATAGATATAAAAAATAAAACATATGTAGAATACATACAGTAAAGAGATAAAAATTATGCAAAGAAGTGTAACACAAAAAGTTCAACCAGTATTTACAGAAATTAACTGATACAAAAAATTAATAAATCTAACAGAGTATAAAGAGAATTATTAGACAGTCATAAATTAAGAGTTTTAAGAAAAGATAAAGAATTAGTCAGACTAGTTAGCACTGAAGCAGTATTAGTTTGTATGTTTAGAAACTTAATTGAAGTATATAATAACTGTAAGTATATATAAATAAGAGACAGTGAGAAACTAAAGAAGAATAGTGTAGAGCAATTAAATAAAGACAAAATAAATAAAGAGATTTTGCTAGAGCAAGAGTATAGGTGCATGGAATATGGTATGCTAGAAAAGCAAATAGAGAAGAGAAAAATAAAGACAAGAAAAAAAGTAAGATAGAAGAAAATGATCAGCAAAAGAACACAGCTAGTAATATAAATATAAGTGAGAAGTATAAGACAGACAAAGAAGAAGTTAATTATAAAAAAGAAAGAAAACTTGAAGTAATTATATACAGTGAACAAATACAGAAAGAACAAACAAAAGAATGAAGTTATTCAGATGAGATAATGAAAATGCATAAAGATAGCAGGTTAGAAAATAATGTCTATACAATGTGGGACATTTCAGTAAAAGTGAGACCAGCAAGTGTAAAAAAATGTCTTCAGTTTTATAATAGAATTAGGTTTATTTAATAAAAAAGTTGTGGTAATAATAAAGCAACAATATTTGCTGTTGAGTTTAGAAATAAGAACAGAAAAGCAATACTTGATCAGGCATAGTCAGTGCATTTTGAAGAAGGTAAAATGTGCATAGTTATTCTTAGGTACCTTTGTGAGAGAGATTTTAGAAAGTAAAGCATCACATAAGACAATAATTAAAAATGTTCTAATAACAGCAATAGAGGTACTATTATTAAGACAACTAAAAGCAGTAAAGATGAAAAGGTCTATATTTTAGTAAACAAAAATAAAAATCAATGGAAAACTGCATCAGTTTACTTTAAAACTGAAGAGAACTTAAGAATGGCTACCAATAAGGAGCTATACTATTACAACATAAAGTTAGAATAGTGTAATAAAAGAGCATTCAAGAACAATGAAACAAAAAGAAAAGAAAACAGAGATGTAAAAGAATACTGTATAAATAGAAGTTCACAGTATAGAAGACATGAAAAGTTAAGAAATCACAGAGAAAGAAGAGAGTAATAAAGAGAACCAGCAGTGAAGAGATAAGCAAGTTAGTTGGAAGTATAATGATAATACACAGACAAAGGCAGTTTATGCAAAAAAGTCAAAAAGTGAGCTACAAGATGTTCTTAGCAGAATATTAAGAAAACTAGATGATATTGAAAAAAGACAATTAGGGAGCTTGCTCCCAAATCACTCCTAAAAGTTACTATAGGCATTCTTCAAGAGAAAGTAACTACTTTGTCGAATATAGAAATAGAGAGCATTAGTAAGAAGTTCATTCATAATGTAAGTAAACATAATAAAGGTGGAAATGGTATAACAAGCATTAAGATAGCATGTCACAACATAAATAAAATTAAGCATAACAAGATCAAACTAAGAACAATAGTTGAATAGACAAAAAAAAAAGAAGTTGATATTCTGGGATTAGTAGAAACAAATAGCAGTAGTAAAAAACTGAAATACAGTTTGAAGGACAATTGCTACAAAGGTTTTTGGTTGCAAAATGAAAGTACAAAGAAGAAAGGATTAGCTGTTGTGTTATTAGTAAGTCAAAAATAGAAAAAACATATAGAAGAAATATGTAGATTTAAGAAATATTTAATTGGAACAAAGTTCTACTTTAAGTAGATAGAAATACAATAGTAGTAGTATACATTCCTCTAAGTGACAAAGAAAGAACATGAAAATTGCAACAAAAAATAGTAAATATATATATGAAGAGAGCAAGCAATATGCAATTCATAGTAATGGGTAACTTCAATCACATAATAAACAGCAAATTAGATAAGATAAATAGTAGTGAAAATAATTGTAGCAAATCATTGCCACTATATAAATAGCTGATAAGACAGGAGTTTGGTGATATATATAGAATTTGCAACCTAAAATTAAGAGGTTATACATAGACAGGACAAGATGTACAAACAAAAATTGACCAAATATAGGTTTCAGAAGATCTATAATCAGGATTAGAACAGGCAGAAATAACTTATGCAAAATTTATAACATCAAGTAACTATAATATTGTTAGTACAATATTAATGTTCAAATACTTGATCCAAACACACAGTGTAGCAAAAATGAAGAAAAAAGAATTAACAAGAAAAATTTATTTGTATGATAAGGTGACAAAAGAAAACTGTGATGATTATCAAATAAATTTTAAAAGTTACTTATCAAAAAATAGAAGGCTCAAAGTATTTGAAAAAGTTAGATATAGCAGTGATATAGACAAAGTGTGGGATATAATATCCTGTACAATAAAAGATACAGTAAATAGAAACATACCAAAAAAAAAGGTTATTCAAAGAAATAGTAATATTGGAAGAAAGAAGAAAGCAACAATGCTGTATAAAGAAATAGTAGCACTTAGTAAGCTACTGCAAAAGACTAAGAAGTTGGTCAAAAAAGAAAGAACTAAACTAAACTTAGAGAAAGTTAACATAGAAGTAGATAAGATAAATATTGAATATAGCCTAAAAATAAGTTATGTAGAAGAAGGCAAAACAGCAGGTCATAAAGAAGATTATATTCTTACCCAGTACAGTATCATCAATCAACTGAGTAAAATTTTATATTAAAAGTTCTAAAATTTTCTTTATAACATTCGTTAAACTAACTGAGTAAGATAATGTTATACTCAGTATGCTTCGATAATTAACTGAATAATACTTAAATTGGGTTTAAATTTTTTATGATAATATGTGATACTTTAATACTATGACAGCTTTAGTATTATCATTATTAGTTAAGTTGCATGTTTGTAAAAGTATAATATAACTATTTACTTTGCAGATATATGTGTATCGATATACTTTATAAGAAAAAACTAAATTTTTTTTAAAATAGTTAACTTCTCAATGATTAATATATTATTGGAATTGTTCAAAATCCTGGGTTGATATTCGATACTATTTGATACTAAAGGCTACAAAATTATTTGTTTTTTACTTATTATTTTTATATTTTTTTGATTTTCAATATTATTAACTAGAATTACTAAATATTTACAGTATTGTATTTAACTATAGATAATTTTATAGGTTAATAAAAACTAATATATACAAATTCTAAAATAGTTTAAATTATTTTTTATAAAAATAAAAATGAATTTACTAAAAGTTCACATTGAAATTTATATGATAAGTGAGTTTATTTTGTATATATATTACAAGTATACAAATATTATATGTCTTATATAAATTTTTTTAAAAAATTTTATTTTTTAAATTCGAATAACAAGATTTTATCATATAATAATCAGTAAGATCAATAAATTTATCAATTATTTAATTAATTATTTATAGCATGTTACTTATGCAAGTTACAATTTTTTATCTTTCACTTACTCTTTTCTAAAATATAGAATATATATATATTGAAAGTGATAGTGATAATATAAATACTAATGACTTGAACCTACTATTAACTATGAGTCTAATAATAATTATGAATCTTTTATGAAGTCAGATAAAGAAGTTCCAATTGCTGATTTAACAGATCAAATTCATATTTACCCTTTGATGATTATGAGATTATTGCTACTCAATCGGTAATTATTTATTTTATCTTTAATTTTATAATATAATAAGCCTAATTAAATCTTTTTATTTATTAAGTCTAAAGTAGTTAATGATAATAATATTAATTCTAATTATGATGATAACTTATTACTGATTAATTTAATTACTAAAAATTTAAGAGTCAGTGAAATTAGATACTCAGCATTGCCAATAAAATATCTACCAACTTCAAAACAAGGCATTGCAATTGTATTTAACATAGGATCTTGGGAATCATATGATAGTTTTTTTAATAATGTATTATTAAATTTGAAATATGTATTTTTTTTAATTTTATATATTGTATTTCTAAAATATTTTTTATTTTAAATACAGTATCAAAGAGGTCATCCTAGTAGAGGTGGTAATACAAAAGTTTGATGTACATTTTTAGACTGTGATGTACACAAATACTATTCTACTTGTCAAGATATTAAGCAATATGCATTTGCATATACTGAAATTCAAAATGCTTCACATAGTGAAGTAAATATGAATACTAATCTTTATTAAAAAAAAATATGTCTTTAAATGATTAAAAATTCAAAGAAATGCAAACATATATGTAAGTATATATTTATATTTCTGCTTATTTAAATATAAGTCTTATTTAATTAAATTAATTTATTCTTGTATATATTTAGCAAATATCTTGCTATAAATAAATTACAATGTTCTTTTAATAATAATAATTGTAAAGAAAGTTTTGTTATACAAAAATGTAACAAATATAATAATCAGGCTACTGAAAGTTGGTTTATTGGATGTAGTTGATGGTGGGATAAGAATAGTACTAGAAATTATTTTTTTTATAAATTAAAAAATAATATCAATATTAATTTATTAAAATAATTATTTAATGATAAAACTGTAAATATATAATTTATTTTTATTATTTAATTTTTAAAATTAATTTAATAATTATTTAAATATTTTTTTAGTTTAAGGCTGCAAGTGAAATAACATCATGTTCAGTAGTATTATCATCTAATTTTAAAAGAAAACATGTGATAAATATAATTGTTTAAAAATTTTGATTATTAAAAATAAACTTATAATTATTATTTTTTATTTAGGATTTTTGCATCATTATTCTGATAATACTGTTCAAGAAGGATCTATAATTAAACATCAATGTAATATAAAATATTATAAAATTATACCTTATAATATTAAAGAATGTCCTTATGTAATTCTTATTAGTAAAGGAATACATAAGCATTCACCTCCTCTACCTACTAAAATTCCTAATGAAACTACTAATAAGTTAAAAGATATTATTAAAGAATCATCTGAAGAATTAGTAAATATTACATCACAAAAGCTTGTTTCAAGTAAGTAATATAATTTATTTTTTAAATATATAGTCTTAATATAATAAATAAGTTAAATTCAAATAAATATGTTTATTA